AATCACTAGTGCTCCCTCACTTAGAATATTGCTCAGTGCTGACGGCCCCGTTCAGGGCAAGAAAAATATCGGAGCTGGAACAAATACAGAGATCGTTTATGGCTCACATTGAGCCAGTAAAGCACCTAAACCATTGGGAATGCCTGCAAGTCTTGAACATGTACTCATTGGAACGGAGGAGAGAGAGGTACGTGATAATATATACTACCTGGAAGGTACTCGAGGGCTTGGTCCCAAATCTGCACACTGCCATAACAACATACTGGAGTGAGAGATATGGGAAGAAGTGTAAAATAAACCCAATGAGGAGCAGGGGTGTGGTGGGGACAATAAGGGAACACTGTATCAACATCCGGGGTCCCAGACTTTTCAACATCTTACCAGAAGATATCAGAAACATTGCTGGAACAAGTGTTGAAGCCTTCAAGAGGAAACTAGACAAGTATCTTCATCAGGTGCCAGATCAACCAGGCTGTGATGGATATGTGGAGCAGCGGGCCTCCAGCAGTGACAGCCTGGTTGACCAGGTGAGCACCAGACGAGCCTGGCCCATGGCCGGGCTCAGAGAGTAGATATACTCGAAATTCTTCAAAGGTATATCAAAGGTAAAGGTAAGGCCTGGAGAACAGGAGTAGTAGTAGTATAAAGGTAGAAGTAGCAGTATAAAGGTAGAAGTAGCAGTATAAAGGTAGAAGTAGCAGTATAAAGGTAGAAGTAGCAGTATGAAGGTAGAAGTAGCAGTATAAAGGTAGAAGTAGCAGTAGAGGTAGTGGTAGTAGTAATAAGTAATACAATAGTGGCAAAGGTGGTAATACAAAGGGAGTAGTGGTAGTGACACGAGTCAAAGAATGGCATGTAGTGAGGCAATAGTAGTACGTAGTAGTAGTAGTAGTAGTAGTAGTGGAGGTAGTCTAAGGACGAGAGGAAAAAAGAGAAAGGAACACTGTACGACAGCTAATGGCCCATGAGGGTGGGACCAAAAAACAGGAAAAAACTCATAGGGCAGAACTCACCTAGGCAGTAGAAAGGAAAGGCAAAGATAATACAGGAAAGAAGAAGAGGTAAGGTGAGGAGGAAATGAAGATCATGTCAAGTCACGGGTGTTCAGAAATTTGGAGCACTTGACAATGTTATGAGAAAGGAAGACATCTACAGAGACACAGCCAGTACCAAGATTCGCTTTAGTAAAGTTGTGTATGAGGGATGCATCAACAAGATGTCATTTGTGAAAGCTTGAAGGGTAGACAGTTTTGGCAGAGGACCAGTTAATTGGTGCCTTTTTATTCTTTCAAGAGGAATAGGTTTGTGAAGTGAATGTGTAAATTTGGAATGGAAGGTAGGGGGAAAAGGGGGGTTATTCCAGGAACAGTTGAAGGGAGGGGATGCAAAAAGCTTGGAGTTTTAGGGGCTTAAGCATCCAACAGGCTTGTGTGAGCTTATTAGATATAGTGTATGAAGACAAGTGGCTTTTAACCCTTTGAGGGTCAACAGGCCCAAAAAAAAAAAAAATTCTTATGAAAAGATAGAGAATATTTTCCCGATCATAATGACACCAAAAGTATGAAATTTGATGGAAAACTTAGGGAATTATGCTCTCGCGAAGTTAGCAGTCTCGACTATGTTTATGCATCGGCGATTTTGCCCACTTTGACCCCTATTTTCGGCCAATTCCAGTGTACTAGTCGACAAAAATCATAACTTTTTCTCTAGAACTCCATTTTTTCTATTGAATGAGTACAAGAAACCACCCATTTATTTATAACCAGTTTGTTTGGTGTTCTGGTAGCAGGGAGTAAATGATACGTCTTCTTCAGAGGCTTCTTAATTTATTATTAAGTCGTGGTGGGTCCACAGGCTTGTGTGTTGTGCCCATGGCCCAGGAGGGACATCCCACGAGAGAGCTAGTAGACCTTGTGTCTTCCTGCTAGGCCACTGTGTGAGTGAGAGAGTGTGGGACCAGCTTCCCACAGACCTGGACAGGCCCAGAGGGCAGCACTTTAGTGGCGCGAAATATGAACTATGCTGGCAGACAGCATGGGCTGTCTGTGCAGACAGTACAGGCTGTCTACATACGCTCGGCCACCTACCTCGCGTCGTCCCGACGCAACAATACTGGTGGTAAAAGAAACTTGGTTTCTCTCTCGTAGGAACAGGGCACAGACCACAAAATAAAAAACATATATATACATATGGACATGGAAAAAAAAACTTCCTACAGGGAGGGAAGAAAAAAACATGTGGGGTGTGCTAAACATCGTGGTCAAAGGCAGTGAGCGTCGAAGGGCATCACTGCACGCCTTCCTGCATCTGGACAGATACTGCAACACAGGAGACATCGCTGCGGCTGAGCTGTGACGTAACAGGGTACGGTCTCCTCTGGAACGGTGAAGCAGTCATCATAGGAGTCGCTGCAGGTTTTCACTCAACCTGGGGCACAACATGCTGGTGCCCTCGAGTGAGGCGTCGACAAAACTTGGCAACTGGCAGGACTTCTGGCAAGCGACTCAGGAGGACACTTCTCGACTGGTATTGTCGCTGGGCTGTCACTGCCGGTGAGCGTGGAGCGAGTTGTGGAGCGAGTCGTGGCAGAGATGACTGGGCGAAACATCAGGGAGTTGTAACATCATACACCAGACTGCAGTGAGAGAGCTAGCAGTCAAAGTGACATCTTCTTTGTGCAGGCTGCTCACTGAAGCTTGTGACATGAGGCTGACACAGCGCCTGCCGACAGGGCTAACTGCGGCTTGACGAGTGTCATTCTCTCTGCAGTTGGAGTTACAGCAGAGGTTAGTCTAAGCGTCCCCAGACTTGTTTCTTTACATATAACTGCACTCTGAAGGTCTGGAGGTGAAGTGAAACAAATCTCAATGGGAATCGTAGCAGGTGCGATTCTGCAGAACATCACAAGCGATGAGCATAAGAGCTTTCTGTACAAGGGGGCTCATACGCTCAGGGGCTGACTGATAACAGCTGTCAAACGCACTGGTCACATCGGGTGGCTTAGCACAGTGGTGCTACTCAGGTCTGGCTCAGACCTCACTGGACACACGGAAACTACACACACCCGCGGTACATGCAGTACACTAACATGTGAGAACACTGACTGAGAGGAAATAATTAACACACGACATATATCTTCTCTCAATCTTCTCGACAACACTAAAATAATTACTAGAAACACTCGATGTGACATCATGTGATGTCGCGAGGTGACGTCAGCAGCACTGTGACGTCAGCAGACATCTTGAGGTGACGTCAGGCAGACATCGTGACATCATGAAGTCGGGCAGCATCGTCGGTGACCTCAATGTGATGCGGGCAACAGACCACAGCATGTGACCTGGGACATCTGGCTCGGTAACTCACGTGGTTTGTAGATCCACGTGACATCGCCCACACCAATGTGGCATCGGGATCCACGTGGCATGCTGATCTACATGACTTGCTGATCCACGGGGCTTCGAGTGACCTCGGGCACTCGGATACACAGCTCTGGCAATGAATTCACACAAAAAACAGCAGAAAACACAGCAGAGGGAGTGGGCAGTGGTGAGTGGTGTATGGTAGGCTGGTGAGGTGTGAGAGTACAGCAGGGCGAGGCAAGGAACGACCACTTCCTCCTCTCCCACAAACACGTGGAGAAACTCACACTGGACACAGAAATCACCACAAAACTCACCTCTGGCTTGCTGAAACAGCTGTGCTGAGCTGAACAACAACAGCAACATACAAGTGACGCTGAACACGTGACTTGAGAAACAGCGTGGAACGCTGTAGCGTGGAGTCACTGGGACGCCACTTACAATTCTCAAAGAAATTCGGCAAGTTTCGGCTGGATCCTGCTTGTACCTGTGTCTGGATGCTCAAACGTGCAGACACGACATCAGGATAACTCATTGAGAGACGGATGCTTCTTGTATAGGGTGATAAAGTGAAGATGACTTCATCCCTTCCTTCCTCTCTCCGGGCAAACACAACTGCTGCGACCACCGCTTCCCGCCATTTATAACGGGTTTGTTTTGGTGTTCTGGTAGCGGGGAGTAAATGATACGTCTTCTTCGGAGGCTTCTTACTTTATTGTTAAGTCGTGGTGGATACATAGGCTTGTGTGTTGTGCCCATGGCCCGGGAGGGCCATCCCATGAGAGAGCTAGTAGACCTTGTGTCTTCCTGCTAGGCCACTGTGTGAGTGAGAGAGTGTGGGACTAGCTTCCCACAGACCTGGACAGGCCCAGAGGGCAGCACATTAGTGGTGCGAAATATGAACTATGCTGGCAGACAGCATGGGCTGTCTGTGCAGACAGTACAGGCTGTCAACATACTAAATTGATTTCAGCTAGGGGGGGGTTGGATTTGAGTGTGATTTGCACATCAGAGCTTATTTCTTCGGTAGCATTGAAAATTGGGTTGGGCAAATGTTTTGTTAGTGGGATGAATTGTAAAGGACCTGCCTAGTATGGGCCAACAGGCCTGCTGCAGTGTTCCTCCTTTCTTATGTTCTGATGTTCTTAACTATCCAATACAGTGGTCAGAATTTAGCAATTTTGCCAATTTCACACAAATTTCAAAAGATGCCAATTTCCAAATAGGGTTCAGAATAAACAAGAAAGACATTCCTGGCACTAAAATAACATTTCCTCTGTTCATTAGTCACATCCCCAGGCCCCTCTTATATTTCTTTGGCTTTCCACTTTCAGTTTTTATTCTTACAAAAAATAGAAGATTTACTGTTATGCAGACTGCTGCATTAGTGTAGAAATGGTATAAATAATATCAGCGCACTTGTGAAAAAATATTAGACTCGCCAGTTGACGTGTATTGGATGCTTGGCATGATTTGTTTACTTTTGAACTTTGGTAAAAATCGAACATTTCTGCTAGTTTGAGCTCAATTTCAAGGTACTTTTCATTGTAAAACCAGTCAAAATCATCTCATTTTCTGTAATATGTCTTCCATTCTATAAAATGAGACCAAGAAAACTAGAATACAACAATAAATACCATACGAAAATACAGTGCAAAGTCGCTGTTTTATTCCAAAAACACGGTCAAAGTTTTTTTTTCTCATTATGCACTGTGTGCTGCAGGATTTTTTTATACTGCACACACTGACCACATAGACCCATTCTTTTATATGTATGCCTACCAGCTTTCTCCCACTAGATTTGAGGGCGCTAGAATTTAGGCGTACTAGTACGTCAAAAACCCTGGGTCGTAAGCCGTACTAGTTCGGCCGAAACCCTCAAAGGGTTAATAGACTTAAATGAGAAATGTAAATTGAGAGAGGTTGGAAAATGTTGTGCCAATACTGTACTTAATATGAAAAGGGGGGATGTGAAAACTTCTCTAAATTATAGGCCTGTTTCACTAGCAAGTACGTATAGCTGTGAAAACCTTTAAAAAGCCATTAGAGGAAAATGGATACACTTTTCTGAGTGATAGAAACATTTCAGATGATAAACCACTGAATGGGTGGGGTTAGAACCTATGGCAGGTGAGTCATAAAACTTAATTAATAAACAGTTTGGATTTAAAAAAGGTTATGGTATACTATAGTGTCTCATGAGAGGTTAATTAATATGGAAATTGCAAAATGTGTGTAAATTATTGCAAAGGATGAGAGTCTTTTTAGTATGAAAAAATGCAGATATATTACAGGTTGACCATCACTAATCCGGCATCATCAGGACCTGTAGGATGCCAGATTACAGAGCAGTTAGGTTAGAATACACTTAGCCCAGTGGCGATGTTTACGCATCGGTGATTGTGCCCACTTTACACCTTATTTTTGGCCCATTCCATTGTCTACCAAACTCTTAGTTATTTCACTAGTATTCCTTCTATTCTTTCGACTGAGTACAAGAAACCGCCCATTTACCTGTTTCCACTACCCAATAAAGTGGTCAGAAATTGGTAATTTGGCCAATTTCACACACATTTCAAGAGATGCCAATTTCAAAATAGGGTCCAGAATAAACAGTGCAGACATTTCTGGCACTACAATAACATTTTCTCTGTTCATTAGCCACATCTCCAGGCCCCTCTTAATATTATTTTGAATTTTTATTCACACCGAAAAATAGAAGATTTACTGTTATGCAGACTACTGCAGTATTGTAATAATTGTATAAATAATGTCAACCCATTCATGACTGCGTATTAGACCGGCCAGGTTGACACGTATTGGATGGTAACGTCAATTGTTTACTCCTGAACATCGGCAAAAATCGAACATAAATACAGCTATAAAACCCATAAGTTGCTGTTTTACACAGTAGCAGTTTTTTCTCATACATTGCATGCTGCAGGATTTCTTCTATAGAGTACACACTTACCACACAAAACTATTATCTCATATATAGGCTCAAATTTACCAGTCACAGCTTATCTGAGTGAGCTGAGCTCATGGCAACCGACAGTGGCTTCAAAGCCACCTTATCTTTTATTGACTATGTACGGTGTATGTGCTTTACACAACAAGAAGCATTTCTTTTATTCGTTGGAACCATGGCTAGGGCTAGAAGTGAGCAGGTTATAGCAATAAATGGAGAAAAAGAAACTGGACTGACTTGTGCAGCATGTAGCACCACCAAACAGTAGCGGCAGGCTGGTGTGGCAACCCTGGAAATTTGAAATTATGGTAACCGAAATTAGTGCCGGATTACTGATAGAACCAGGTTACTGATTGCTGGATTAGTGATGGCCAACCTGTACACAATAGTGATAAGAGGAGAGATGTCTTTATGAGGTGATGTCACTATATGAAATAAAACTTATGGAAAGAGTAATAATGTATAGTTTATATATTGTGATATTTCAGTATTACTCCAGTATTTATTTTTCAGTAACTCTGTTTACATTTTGTCTTTATGAAAACAGTCCAAACCTTTCCCAGTGGCTCAGTATGGTGGACGTTTCACAGTCACTATGTTACCAGGAGATGGTATTGGCCCAGAAATGATGGGCTATGTTCAAAATATCTTTAGGTAAGAAGCTTAGCATTTGTAATTCTTGCTGTAGTTTAGAATACAGTACTGCATTTGTAATTTGGTGTATAGTTTTTATATAATAGAAAGTATGTGCCATTATTCACAATAAGAATACTGACACCTCTAAATCCAATGAAAAATTTACTCATTTCATATGATTGTCTATTAGAGGTATTTGTCCTATATTGTATTTAACTATTGATTTCAATGTGCAGATATGCAGGTGTACCTGTTGACTTTGAAGTGATTCAGATAACAAAAAACTCAACAGATGATGAATTTGAAAATGCTATGATCTGTATTAGAAGGAATGGTGTTGCTTTAAAAGGTTAGTTATATTACATGTTATTGTTTCCTTCCACATTATTGATTGACAACTTTTAAGAATTTAACACATCATAATTCATTGAAACAATGTTTTAAATTCTGTGCTATCACCTAAATGACTGAGATGTGTAATGTGTGTGTTTTCTTCTTTATCATAAACATTTGATTTAATAAACTAAACAAAGTTTATAGCATTTATTACTCTTGGTAGTCACGTTATGAGTTATCCTAAGTAACAATTTTCTTATATTATTATATCACTCAGTTATCAATAAAAGCTCTTTTCCAAATTACACCATATCATCTTGCCAGTTACATTGCATGCTCTCATTTTCCAGCACAAAATCCCATGTACAGTAGTTTTTCCTTATGCTCCATATTCTAAGTTTTTTCTATACCATACTGAAGAAGATAATAAAGAAGGAGCACTGCGGCAGGTCTACTGGCCCATCCGAGGCAGGTTCTTCTCTAACCATACAAAGTACAGTTTTTTTTTTCCAACAAACTGGCTGTATCTCACTGAGGCAGGGTGACCTAAAAAGAAAAACAAAAGTTTTAAAAAGAAAAACAATGTATTTCTTTTTAAATTTTGTTGTAATTTATACAAGAGAAAGGGTCACAAGCCCCTTTCCTCCCAGCATTTTAGTTGCCTCTTATGACACACATGGCTTATGGAGGAAGAATTTTGTTCCATTGTATATACATACAGTATTACTGTTCAGTGTCTGAATCATGCAGGCCATTTCGTATGTTGTTTTAGGCCGTCTCCCTCCGAGGCGGTGTGACCCAAAAAGAAAGAAAATCCCCAAATAGAAAATACTTTCATCATCATTCAACTCTTTCACCTCACTCACACACAATCACTGTTTTTGCAGAGGTGCTCAGAACACAACAGCTTAGAAGCATATACATATAAAGATACACAACATATCCCTCCAAACTGCCAATATCCCGAACCCCTCCTTTAGAGTGCAGGCATTGTACTTCCCATTTCCAGGACTCAAGTCCGGCTATATAAAAATAACCGGTTTCCCTGAATCCCTTCACTAAATATTACCCTGCTCACACTCCAACAGATCGTCAGGTCCCAAATACCATTCGTCTCCATTCACTCCTATCGAACACGCTCACGCACGCCTGCGTGCATGTGTGAGTGAGGTTCAAGTGCTGAATGATGACGAAAGCGTCTTCTGTACCAGGGCTTGTAACATACAAAACAGCAAATTTAAGCAAAATACAATGTGTAGTAGTCCTTTACATATACTGCTTCCAATAAATTCAACAATTCATAGATTTTGCTTATCTCTGTTCCATGTAAAAAACTGAACTTTTGCAGTTTCACTGGTCATTTTCATGTGTACCAGTTGACTAACACCCAAGTACCTATTTTACTGATAGGTGAAAATGGACAACAGGTGTCTTAAGGAAACGCATCCTAATGTTTCCACCTGTACTGGGGATCGACCCCCAGGCCTCAGTGTGTGAGCTGAGTGCGCTACCAACAGAGCTATGGGACACCGTAGACAAAATCTGGAATATTGTTTGGTGGGCATGTCTTTGTGTCAGTTTTCCATCGTTTTGCCCTTCACAAGTGCATTTCTTCCCAAATCCTATAAATCTGACTACTGCTGTTATGCTCATATTTCAATCATTATTCTGCACCCCACTATTATGCATCACAGTTCCTAAGTGCAAAGGAGATACAGAGTAGAAAAGTGGAAAGATAATACATGCTTGCTCATGGTGAGAAAATAGCCACTGTTGGAAGACATTATGATACTGATGAATAGCTATGCACCATCCTCATCAAGGTATATATTGTATGTATCTGCAATACTGTACACAGTACTGTATATTAAAATTTCATTTTAATGTGTACAGATCAGTTTAACACAAATGTTAATGGTACAATATTCACTATTTCTGCACTTGATGGGACCTCTAGAAATGCTTCCTCCATGAATATTGAAAGAATCTGTATACTTGTCATAGTACAGATCTTTCTCTCTTATACCATTTTTCCTGTGTGTGCTCATTTCTTTCCATGGTTGATGTGTTTACGTCATCCTTTTGCCCTCTGTTGGCTTTGCATCTATTATGCTTTAGAATTGTTCACACTTTCCATAACACTTCCTTTCCTATGCAGTAACCTTATTTACTGATGACTTCACTGCAAGACGCCACATGTCTTGATCGCTTACTCCAGAAAAAGTTTGATGTTTGGTTGTTTTATCCATGACAACCTTATTTTTTTTTGCCATCAGTAAATAAAAGTAATCTCTTAAAATGTAAAATTACTTTTTTGCTCTTTCACAGAAATCCTGCGGAGAACCCTTTAAAAGTGGGTAAAATATTAATGATAATTTTTGTATATTAGATAAAGTGGTAAAATAGTATACTGTTCTTAAAATATGAGTTGATAAAATTATTTAAAGTACTTAAATACTGTAAATAAATATTTAAAATGCCATCTGATCAACCTATTTTTTTTTTCATAGAGTATCAAGACCTGCATGTATGTTTTTTGGATTGTTGGTATCACTTTCCATAATTCCTATTTACATCACTTTCCATAATTCCTATTTACATCACTTTCCATAATTCCTATTTACATCACTTTCCATATTCCTGTTTGCGTCGCTTTTCACAATTACTGGAGCAATTGTTACACATATGTCTTAACTTATTGTTGGTATGGTATACCATTATTATATTCACACTGTTGGACATTGCAACACAATGGTACCTAGATACAGAAGTATCTTTGACATCCTTATTGCATAACCACTAATTACAAAGGAGAAAGATTGGATTTGAGGGGGATCTTATCATGTGCCAGTTGGCTTGCTACAATACTTCCCAGGCTTGCATTCTTGTTTCTACTAGTGGGCCCCACCTCTTCAGTCATCATTCAAGATTTTCTGCATCTCACCTATGGCAGTATACAAGTCTTTATTCTCATACTTCAGCTTTACATTGTTCCAGATTATGGAGCTGAATTCTTCTCCAGGCTGAGGATGATAAACTGATAACATAATTTTTACACCACTGCTTCATTTCTCCTCTGTTGTGTAGGTGAAACATTTAGGAATAAAGATACCTAATAATTGCATGTGTGTCTTTTTTAACTAATGCACAAGTTGTTCAGTAAAACAATATCAGAAACTATAGAAAATACCAAAATGATAGGTCAAAGGATAATGAGAGCCATAATTACATATCAGAAGCATGCAAAACACTATCAATATATAAGTTTAAAAGGAGGAAAGCTTTCTTTCTCTTGCGCTGTCACCCACCCCCAATCTTATCTATAATCCCTTTCACAACATTCCCTCATCTCCCCACCCTTATATTCCTATCCCTGTATCCTCACACCCTACATTCCACACCTCAATATCCACCACCCCTATATACCTTACCCAATATTCCCTTTTCCTATATCCCCTTTCCCTATATCCCCTTTCTGTATATCCCCTTTCCCTATATCCCCTTTCCCTATATCCTCTTTCCCTATATCCCCTTTCCCTATATCCTCCTTTCCCTATATCATTCCTGTCCCAACAGTCTGCACCTGTTTCTCAGCTTCCAGACTCCGCCTTACACCCCCATCTAATTAATAAAAAACAGAAACAGGAGGCTAAAAGTATTGGAAAAAGTTCGGTAGAAGGAAGAGATGCAGATGACCTTTATTGTTAAATATATAGACTGAAGAATTCTAAACAGAAAAGAAATACAGTGGACCCCCGGTTAACGATATTTTTTCATTCCAGAAGTATGTTCAGGTGCCAGTACTGACCGAATTTGTTCCCATAAGGAATATTGTGAAGTAGATTAGTCCATTTCAGACCCCCAAATATACACGTACAAATGCGCTTACATAAATACACTTACATAATTGGTCGCATTGGGAGGTGATCGTTAAGCGGGGGTCCACTGTAATTCATTAAGAATAAATATACAAGTATTTTAACAGTCTTTAACATTCCCTTACCAGGAAGCATCGAGAGCAAATATGGGAATGCTTCAAGTGGTTCTCGTAATGCGACACTGCGCACACAGTTGGATCTCTTTGCTAATGTTTTGCACTGTAAAACATATCCTTCTATCCAGTCTCGACATAGCGATGTGGATATAATTATCATCCGTGAAAACACTGAAGGAGAGTATTCCATGCTAGAGCATGAGGTAAAATCTTTATTTATTACAGTTTTGATAAATCATTTTCAGGAATTGCCTTTTGACAGTACAATATTTTATGACAAGACCAGCATTGCTACTTAGTTCAGCTTGAGGAAATGATTATATGCACTGTATGACATAATTCTCTTGATTTTTTTTATTGTTTGTGGAAACAATAATGAGGAGATAGAGGGAGAATGGTATTTTTCACCATATTAGGAAATTCTCAGTGTTAACTTTGCAACCACCAATTGGTAGACTTGAGAACTCTTTAATTTCTTAATCTCAAAACACATAGTGCCCTGTCTGTACATTTCTGCTGTATTTAATTCCCAGTATGCCAATATGTATTCTCCCTTAATTCCATAATATACTAATATCCAAACCAGTATTAACAGTTCTTTAGTAAATGCTTCAAGGCTTATTTGAGAGTCTTGTTTACTGATAAGCATGCAGATTAAGTAGAATAATGTAAACTTTCAAGTACATGTTGTCTATAGCACTGACCTGGTCTACTGTTTTTTGAAACATTGTTCACATACAGAACTAACTTAGCTATTACTGTATTTTATAGTAGCTTATGCCTTCAGTTCAATTAACCCATTCAGGGTCCTTGCCGTAGATCTAATGCTTTACGTTCAGGGTCCAAACCGTAGATCTACACCATGAGCTCAGCTCACTCTGATAAGCTGTGAGTGGTAAATTTGGGCCTAGATATGAGAGAATACATCTATGTGGTATGTGTGCACCACATAAAACAAATCCTGCAGCACACAGTGTATAATGAGAGAAAAAAAAACTGAGACCATGATTTTCGATTAAAACAGCGGCTTTGCAGTGTTTTTCGTATGTTTTTTATAGTTGTATTTGTGATTTCTTGGTCTCATTTGATAGACTGGAAAACATATTACAGAAATAGAGATTATTTTGATTGGTTTTAGCACTGGAAATGGCTTGAAACTGAGCTCAACATAGCGGAAATGTAAAATTTTTGCCGATGTTCAAGAGTAAACAAACGACCTCACACGTCTAATACACGCCAGCTGGTGGGTCTGATATACATTCACAAATGTGGTGATGATATTTATACAATCATTACAATATTGCATAACAGTAAATCTTTTATTTTTTTATTTGAATAAAAATTCATTATGTTAATAAAAAATCAAAATGGAATTCATTTGTAAAGCCTCGAAACGTAACTAATGAACAGAGGAAATGTTAGTTTAGTGCCAGGAATACCTACATTGTTTATTCTGGACCCTATTTTGAAATTGGAATATTTTGAACTTTGTGTTAAATTGGCCAAATTACCAATTTCCGATCACTTTATTTTGTAGTTGAAACAGTTGACTTGGCAATTTCTTGTGCTCAATCGATAGAATAGAAGTAATACTAGTGAAATAGCTAAGAAATTGGTCGACTGGAATAATGTAATTGGCCTAAAATGGGAGTCAAAGTCGGCAAAATCGCCGATTCGTAAATAAGCTTAATTTGCAACTTTTTTCATTGTTTATACTTTCATCAACATGCCAGCTAATCTAGCCTGCACCATAAGTTATCTTGAATTTATTGAGTAGCAAAGGCTATGTTATCTGCAGATATTTATGTCCTTCCACCAATTTCAAAATTCATATTATCATGAATTTTTTTTTTTTAACACGCTGGCCGCTTCCCATCGAGGCAGGATGACCCCCCCCCCCCCCAAAAAAATGAAAAAAAAAAATACTTTCACCATTTTTTTTTTTTTTTTCAACAAGTCGGCCGTCTCCCACCGAGGCAGGGTGACCCAGAAAAAGAAAAATCCCCAAAAAGAAAATACTTTCATCATCATTCAACACTTTCACCACAATCGCACATTATCACTGTTTTTGCAGAGGTGCTCAGAATACAACAGTTCAGAAGCATACACATATAAAGATACACAACATATCCCTCCAAACTGCCAATATCCCAAACCCCTCCTTTAAAGTGCAGGCATTGTACTTCCCATTTCCAGGACTCGAGTCCAACTATATGAAAATAACCGGTTTCCCTGAATCCCTTCACTAAATATTACCCTGCTCACACTCCAACAGATCGTCAGGTCCCAAGTACCATTCGTCTCCATTCACTCCTATCTAACACACTCACGCACGCTTGCTGGAAGTCCAAGCCCCTTGCCCACAAAACCTCCTTTACCCCCTCTCTCCAACCCTTTCGAGGACGACCCCTACCCCGCCTTCCTTCCCCTATAGATTTATATGCTTTCCATGTCATTCTACTTTGATCCATTCTCTCTAAATGACCAAACCACCTCAACAACCCCTCTTCTGCCCTCTGACTAATACTTTTATTAACTCCACACCTTTTCTTAATTTCCACACTCCGAATTTTCTGCATAATATTTACACCACACATTGCCCTTAAACAGGACATCTCCACTGCCTCCAACCATCTCCTCGCTGCTGCATTTACCACCCAAGCTTCACACCCATATAAGAGTGTTGGTACCACTGTACTTTCATACATTCCCTTCTTTGCCTCCATAGATAACGTTTTTTGACTCCACATATACCTCAACGCACCACTAACCTTTTTTCCCTCATCAATTCTATGATTAACCTCATCCTTCATAAATCCATCCGCCGACACGTCAACTCCCAAGTATCTGAAAACATTCACTTCTTCCATACTCCTCCTCCCCAATTTGATATCCAAATTTTCTTTATCTAAGTCATTTGACACCCTCATCACCTTACTCTTTTCTATGTTCACTTTCAACTTTCTACCTTTACACACATTCACAAACTCATCCACTAACCTTTGCAATTTTTCTTTAGAATCTCCCATAAGCACAGTATCATCAGCAAAAAGTAACTGTGTCAATTCCCATTTTGAATTTGATTCCCCAAAATTTAATCCCACCCCTCTCCCGAACACCCTAGCATTTACTTCCTTTACAACCCCATCTATAAATATATTAAACAACCATGGTGACATTACACATCCCTGTCTAAGACCTAATTTAACTGGGAAGTAGTCTCCCTCTCTTCTACACACCCTAACCTGAGCCTCACTATCCTCATAAAAACTCTTTACAGCATTTAATAACTTACCACCTATTCCATATACTTGCAACATCTGCCACATTGCTCCTCTATCCACTCTATCATATGCCTTTTCTAAATCCGTAAATGCAATAAAAACTTCCCTACCTTTATCTAAATACTGTTCACATATATGCTTCAATGTAAACACTTGATCTACACATCCCCTACCCACTCTGAAACCTCCTTGCTCATCCGCAATCCTACATTCTGTCTTACCTCTAATTCTTTCAATTATAACCCTACCGTACACTTTTCCTGGTATACTCAGTAAACTTATTCCTCTATAATTTTTACCTTCTCTTTTGTCCCCTTTCCCTTTATATAAAGGGACTATACATTCTCTCCGCCAATCCCTAGGTACCTTCCCCTCTTTCATACATTTATTAAACAAAAGTACCAACCACTCCAACACTATATCCCCCCCTGCTTTTAACATTTCTATCATAATCCCATCAGTTCCAGCTGCTTTACCCCCTTTCATTTTACGTAATGCCTCACATACCTCCCCCACACTTACATCCTGCTCTTCTTCACTCCTAAAAGATGGTATACCTCCCTGACCAGTGCATGAAATTGGTCAGTGAGGTATACCATCTTTTAGGAGTGAAGAAGAGCAGGATGTAAGTGTGGGGGAGGTACGTGAGGCATTACGTAAAATGAAAGGGGGTAAAGCAGCTGGAACTGATGGGATCATGACAGAAATGTTATAGCAGGGGGGATATAGTGTTGGAGTGGTTGGTACTTTTGTTTATTCACACATAATCACTGTCTTTGCAGAGGTGCACAGATATGACAGGTCAAATGTCACTCCAAACAGCCAATTTCCCCAAACCCTTCCTTTAAAGTGCAGGCATTGTACTTCCCACCTCCAGGACTCAAGTCCAGCTAACCAGTTTTCCTGAATCTCTTCACAAAATATTACCCTGTTTATACTTTAACAGCTCATCAGGTCCCAAAAACCATTCAGCTCCATTCACTCATATTTAACACGCTCACACATGCATGCTGTATGAAAACTGTTTTGGATTAATGAAGTTCAATGGGCTGTTTTCAGTTCAGATATAGATCATTTGATAAAGCTCTGTTACTACCCCTCTACAGTAACTTTTTCTTTCATGACTTTTTATGAGAATTTTCCTTCCTTGAGCTAGCCTTGTGTATAATCCTAAACTATTTAAATAAAGCACTTTAATATTGTTTGAATAGACTTGAATGTGTGGAAATAAAGATTGCCTCAATAAAGTGAAAAATATGAAAGGACTGAAACAGAAAAAGACAAAGTGTCAGAAGTAAGGAAACACAGATAACCCGCACATAGTAGAGGGGAGCTTACGACGATGTTTCGGTCTGACTTGAACCATTTACAAAGTCACACAGTGTGACTTTGTAAATGGTCCAAGTCGGACCGAAACGCCATTGTATACTCCTCTCTTCTATGTGTGGGTTATTTGTGTATCATTCCAGTCACAGTATTGTGCCTTTTTTTTTGTTATTTAAGTAAGGAAAATGAAGAATAGAAACACATTAATGTGTTAGTTACAATGACAGTGTAGATGAGTGCTGGCTTCATTGTAAAAAAATTTTTCCTGGCATTGGTGTATCATATGCATAAATTTTTATATAGACTGGTGTTTAGATGCATGTGTAATTTGTTTGTATTTTTGGGGAATACATCAGTCAAAGAATGTGAACTTTATTCACAACACCCATTTTCATTGGAGTTCCCATGCTTGAAATTTGTTTATTTCTAATTATTCTTGTTTACAAGTGTCAGTGTTAACTAGACCACAGCAGTAATATGAAAAATTAAACATAAGGCAACTTAAAGTCAAATATTTTGCTGCATTTATTGAAATATTGGTTTTCCCCATGACTTTAAAAACCTCATTGAAGCCTTTCCCTATAATGTTAGGATTTTCTTATCCCACCTCTGAACATATTTTAAAAAGTGTATGTATTCTGCCTTTCCTCCCTCCTCCACCCCATGACTACTTTTTTTTTTTTGGGGGGGGGAGGGAAACTAGAGCCAGTGCATCTAATAAATAAAATTCTCTTGGCAGCTTGTGCTTGCTTTTGTAATAATTTGGTTTTCTAATAGGTTATCAGTAAGTTATATATTATGTAGGTAGGTATATGGAATAGGTGGTAAGTTACTAAATGCTGTAAAGAGTTTTTATGAGGATAGTGAGGCTCAGGTTAGGGTGTGTAGAAGAGAGGGAGACTACTTCCCGGTAAAAGTAGGTCTTAGACAGGGATGTGTAATATCACCATGGTTGTTTAATATATTTATAGATGGGGTTGTAAAAGAAGTAAATGCTAGGGTGTTCGGGAGAGGGGTGGGATTAAATTATGGGGAATTAAATACAAAATGGGAAGTGACAATTACTTTGTGCTGATGATACTGTGCTTATGGGAGATTCTAAAGAAAAATTGCAAAGGTTAGTGGACGAATTTGGGAGTGTGTTTAAAGGTAGAAAGTTGAAAGTGAACATAGAAAAGAGTAAGGTGATGAGGGTATCAAATGATTTAGATAAAAATTGGATATCAAATTGGGGAGGAGGAGTATGGAAGAAGTGAATGTTTTGAGATATTTGGGAGTTGACGTGTCGGCGGATGGATTTATGAAGGATGAGGTTAATCATAGAATTGATGAAGGAAAAAAGGTGAGTGGTGCATTGAGGTATATATGGAGGCAAAAAATGTTATCTATGGAGGCAAAGAAGGGAATGTATGAAAGTATAGTAGTACCAACACTCTTATATGGGTGTGAAGCTTGGGTTGTAAATGCTGCAGCGAGGAGGCGGTTGGAGGCAGTGGAGATGTCCTGTCTAAGGGCAATGTGTGGTGTAGATATTATGCAGAAAATTCAGTGTGTGGAAATTAGGAGAAGGTGTGGTGTTAATAAAAGTGTTAGAGGGCTGAAGAGGGTTTGTTGAGGTGATTTGGTCATTTAGAGAGAATGGATCAAAGTAGAATGACATGGAGAGCATGTAAATCTGTAGGGGAAGGAAGGCGGGGTAGGGGTCGTCCTCAAAAAGGTTGGAGGGAGGGGATAAAGGAGGTGTTGTGGGCGAGGGGTTTGGACTTCCAGCAAGCGTGCGTGAGCGTGTTAGATAGGAGTGAATGGAGACGAATGGTATTTGGGACCTGACGAGCTGTTGGAGTGTGAGCAGGGTAATATTTAGTGAAGGGATTCAGGGAAACCTGTTATTTTATATAACTGGACTTGAGTCCTGGAAATGGGAAGTACAATGCCTGCACTCTAAGGGAGGGGTTTGGGATATTGGCAGTTTGGAGGGATATACACCTACCATCCGACTTACAACCTGCTCGACTTACGACCACTCGACTTACGACCGTGTTTTTTATGCCAAATTTCTGGGAAATAAACAACTATTTGTGTTGTACACAGTGTTTATCCTAAACCTTACAGTATAAAATACAGTACTAACAACATAAAAATAAAGTAAAACATGAAATACCAAAATAAAACAATAAAATAGTCATTACAAAAATGTTTTGTTGATATTCAGTAGTAAAGTTTGACTTATGACCATTTTGACTTATGACTGATTTCTCGGAACCGAACTCGGTCGTAAGTCGGATGGTAGGTGTACTATTGTGCATTTTTATATGTATATATTTCTAAACGGTTGTATTCTGGGCACCTCTGCAAAAACAGTAATTATGTGTGAGTGAGGTGAAATTGTTGAATGATGATGAAAGTATTTTCTTTTTGGGGATTTTCTTTCTTTTTGGGTCACCCTGCCTCGGTGGGAGATGGCTGACTTGTTGAAAAAAAAAAAAGGTAGACATATGCTATATAGTGTGAGGATCACTTAGATTTTTTCTGTACTTTATACAGTTTTTTTAAAGCCAGTTAGCACCTGTGCATTTTCCAACATTCTGTTATTAAGCTAGAAAGATAAGTGAAATAAGGATATGCAGTACATTAAATGAGAATAAAAACACTGTAGTATATAACCTAATATAATTACAGAATGTGAAGGGTGTCATTGAGAGTATGAAGATAATTACTAGGAAGGGCTCAGAGCGAATTGCAAGATATGCTTTTGAATATGCTATCAGGCATGGTCGCAAGAAGGTCACTGCTGTTCATAAAGCAAACATCATGTAAGTTTAGTTTTCCCAAAAGGGAAAGCATGCAGCATTTATGATTTTTATTTATCTTCCATATTAATGATGAAGAAGCTCTAAACCTGTAATTGTCACACAATCAAACCACAGTACGGATGGGGTTAGAACCCACAACAAGTGTTGTTATGATTTTGTGAGTCATTGTCACACAATGCCTGGGAAACAGAATAAGACTTGATCTGAGAAAGAGGAGGGTTATTTCAATTCCTTGGATCAAGAGTCCATTGGAATCAAGGTCCCCTTGAATGGCAACATTTTTAAACATGATTACTTACTCCATTAAATCATTGTAGCCTAGGCTGGTACTTAAATAGAAATCAAGAATCTCTAATTGAGAGAGTGGCCAGGGAAAATGAACAATTTGTGATTGGCTTCTTCAGAAGAGAGCTGAGAGATTAGAAGAGAGGATAAAATATGGATTGACAAAGCCAGTTTTATCAGGAGTATTTATATTCCATTTCATGATTTCAGTAATTTGGAAGGAAAAGTAAAAGTTTATTTGATGTTATCTGTAGACATATTTTCTCGGATGTTAAAGCTTGTGAACTAGATTATTTTTGTATTTAAAAGCGCTAAATATGTCCACAAAGATATTGAAGATAGCCACCCTTTCAAGGATAAACTTTCCCTGAAGAAATAAGTTGTCAAAAATATATGGTATATAGAGTAAATTTGTATTTCCAAATGTTTTTCAAATTATAAATATCTTCAGTATCTCCTTGTATGTACAGTAATTTTTTCTCGCACCATTCACCCATCTGAGCCTTTTCAGAGAAAGATTCAGATTCTCTACTGCCAGATACATGGAATACATTTTAATTAAGGTGATAATGGTTTACTTGGTTCCCTACTCAAATTTTCTCACTAAACATTTCTATAACATGTTGAAGTTGTTTTTATTACTATTGGCACACCTTCAATAGTTATAATTACAAAATAAAATTAGTTTTTATATTTTACCAGGAAATTATCTGATGGGCTCTTTCTGGAAACATGTCGCAGCATAGCCAAAGAATATCCGGAAATAGAATTCAGCGACATGATTGTTGACAACACCTGCATGCAACTAGTAGCCAGACCCCAACAGTTTGATGTCATGGTGATGCCCAATCTGTATGGTAATGTAGTGTCTAATGTTGTGTGTGGACTTGTGGGTGGACCGGGATTACTCTCAGGACGAAATTATGGAGAGCATGTGAGTTATGCCATTATTCATTGTATTCACTATTTTGTTTTTACTTTCGTACAAATTATAGTTAGATATAGAGAGTGCTTTATGTTGGTTAACCTGTCTGACACTTTATATAGCCAATAACCTATATTCTTTATGAAAAAAAAAATGGTTTCTGCAGAATTTTATCCTGCCAAGGGTTACAGATTGTTACAACTGTTTGCTTTCTTAGATACCCCATCTTTAAATTCCTTTATTCATAATTTATATCCCAGTCTACATCAGAAGATAATGTTCATATATGAATACACTTGTAAATAGACTTGGACTTGAAAAATAGACTAGTGCTTATTATCTTATACTTCATAATAAACAGTTGCAATATTATTTTTCCACATTCTTGATCATGACTTTTTCATGCTTCTGTTTATATTTAGTCATGTTTATTTTATTTTTTTAGTTTTTAACATTGACTGTTTCCCAAAAATTTAGGGTGACCTAAAGAAAACATTTAATACCTTCTTCGTGTCTAGTTATTTATTACAGTACTGGAAAAGGTTTAACAAGTACCTGGCCTCTTATAGGTAAGGATGTCTAACCTGCTTCCCCACATTTATTTACAGTAAAACCTCTGTTGGATGAATTGTGGATTTATTAGACAATATCGATGGCCATACAGCATCTAAAACCAGCAGACAATGCTTATTAATTTCCGAATTGTTCATTGTTCTTATAGTGCGCTGGGTAAATTAAATTGTCCATTATTGTTAAGACCATGGCAAAGCAATCTCATCATTCAAATTTAACAATCTACATAAAGAGACACCCCCTTTATCCTATAAGTCTGTAGAAAGAATGTTTAGCAGCACTCTAATTTGAATTTGTATGAAATTAATTATGTACTGACAAAATACATGTTCAATATAATTCCTTTTAATAAAATCTTTTTGGAAATTTGTAACAAATTTTTTTACAGAAATTCAGTATCTATTTAAATTTTTCAGTTTGCAGTATTTGAACCAGGAACACGCAATACTGGAGCATCAGTGGCAGGCCGCAACATTGCTAATCCAGTAGCCATGTTGAATTCTGCATGTGATATGCTAGAACACTTGGATCTTCAATCCCATGCTCACCTGATTCGAGATGCTATTGACAGAACACTGAATGTGGACAAGATTCATACTGCTGGTTAGTAGCTAATCAGTTTACGTTATGATGATTTATTCCGTATTCCCAAATAGGTTCACACACAAAGGCTTCTACAGAATGTTAGCATTTACCAACAAGAGTATTCAACACTCATTTTAGAATGAAAATATACAGTATGTCAAAGGAAGAACATAAGTATTGAGAGTTCTGCAGTAGACCTGCTGGTCAGTGTAAGGTAGGTCCTTCTCAAATCCATCCCTAATCACACGTGTATTTGTTTAACCTATTTTTCAGAACTGCTTAAGGAGTTAGCTTCAGTGACTACATAGCAGATTGTTCCACTCGTGTACAACTATATTGCTAAACAGTACAGTGTACCCCCGGTTTTCATAATCAATCTGTTCCAGAGAGAGTGACTAAACCCAAATCTGATGAATTCTGAATTAATTTTCCCCATAAGAAATAATGGAAATCCAATTAATCCATTTCAGACACCCAAAAGTATTAAAAAAATTGTTTTCTACGTGAAATATACATTTAGTGAAGGGATTCAAGGAAACCGGTTATTTTTATATAGCCGGACTTGAGTCCTGGAAATGGGAAGTACAATGCCTGCACTTTAAAGGAGGGGTTTGGGATATTGGCAGTTTGGAGGGATATGTTGTGTATCTTTATATGTATATGCTTCTAAACTGTTGTATTCTGAGCACCTCTGCAAAAACAGTGATAATGTGTGAGTGAGGTGAAAGTGTAGAATGATGATGATGAAAGTATTTTCTTTTTGGGGATTTTCTTTCTTTTTGGGTCACCCTGCCTCGGTGGGAGACAGCCAACTTGTTGGAAAAAAAATCACACCTGTGTTTTTTGAAGATATGGTGATGTATGGAAGACGGGAGGAGGAAATGGAAAGGAAGGAGTAGTGTACAATTGTTTGGAAGGGGAATCCCCTTCCATAAAGACTTCAGGTACCAAGTCTTTATCCTGGGTTACTTCCCTTCTTTGTTTTTTTAATGTCACTAGGACCAGCTTGAGAGTCACTGGAGCCCTGTCACTCAAAAAAGTGTTCCAGAGAGGTCTGTTTCTGGCATATGTTAGAAATTGTGTTGGGAGACAGGACAAGATAGTCATTCAATACGACACTAATATCAGCTCTACAGCTTATTAATCTAGCACAATTCATCTAATATGACATAAATAATACTAATAACATAGAAACATGATATATACTCTAGAATGAATAGAAAATTGCATTAAGAATGTCATGAGTGGTGGTGTGTTTGGTGTTGGGTGTATAAGGGCCACTGAAAGATGATCCTTACATAATGGTGGTGAAGGCGGCAGGAAGAGGCAGCAGAGGCGGCGGTGTTAGTCAGTAGCCCTATATACCTCCAACAACAATGGAGTCAGTTTTGTGCTGTCCTTTTTCTATCAATTAATCACTTAACTTACTTGCTACACTGTTAATGGTATACTTAATTGCTGGCTGGCACTATAACCTTTATCGACTCCTGCTGCTTTAGTATTATACATATTGCAGAATCACTAAAAAAGGCATATTCTCCCCTCTCTCTCAGCCCTCTACCAAAGGGTTGCCTGGCACTACCAACTTTCTTTGGGCCTATGGTGGTTTATTTAGCAGTTGCAAGCACTAGAAAGAATGGAATAATACAAAATATATTGTATGAACATGTGGGATTATCCTCACTGGCTGATAAAGAATGGCACACTGGCTGTACATGGAGTGTCAGGACCGCTCAGGCTGTGCGGACACATTCCAGACGAGTGACTTATACAGAGTTCAGTGACGATCACTGAGCCAATATTTTGACAAAAAACATTACTTATTCTGAATATGTATTACGTATTCCGATGACGACGTAATCCGGGAGTCCAGTGTACTTTCATAAATCCTTTCTAAATCTGAATTTATCCACTTCAGTCCATTCCTAGCTTTTTGATTAGATACTTGTAGCACCATATTTATATCCTTTCTCAAAGCCTGTTTTCCACATGTATACACAATTATATCTTCCCCCTCACTCATGTTTTCCACTGCATGTTTTCCACTGCACATATTGCACATCCATTCAATAGTATGAAAACCAAAATTGAGCTGTATAATCCAAGTAAGGTCTTATATTTTAGCTGTAAAATAACTTGGGACTCCTCTTATTTATACTTCTTGATATAAATCCACATACTCTGTTGTATTGCACAAGCTGAAATGCTGCTGCTGTCTTGGTTTCAAATATCTGTTTACCATAGCTTGAAGTCTTTTTAAACATTTTGCATGATCAAGCACTGTATCACTTAGTCTATTAGAGTTATTTTCATTTTCAAGGATCAGGACTTTTTGCACTTTTCCACATTGAAATGCACCTGCCACTTTTCGATCATATTAGCTTGTCCAAATCTTCTTGAAGTTCAGTGGTATCATGCTTTGAATATATTATTCAGCCTATTTTTGTATTGTAATTGTTTACTTTGTTGCTTTTATTTCCTTGTTAAGGTCATTAATGTAATACACAAATATCCCTCACGTAGGAGACTGAAACTTATGATTACATTTGCTTTGGTCAGTTTTGGACCATTAACTAGTCACACAGACTAGTTAATGGTCCATGTCAGACTGAAATATCATCTTAGGTTTCTCCTATGTGCAGGTTATTTGTGTATTGTTCCAGTCATGGTATTGTGTTTTTTGTGTCTTTAATGTAAATTATTAACATCAAAGGCTCAAAGCTAATCCTTGTGGAATGCTATTTGTGACTTGTCCCCATTCTGATATCACCCCATTTTATGCAAACTGCTTCTTATTGGTCAACCATGCCTCGATCTATGAGAGAATTTTTTCCTGTGATACTATGTTCTGCTCCTCTCTTTAATCCAAGTAAACAACATTGTTGTCTTCACCATGCTCCACTGACACAAATGCTTTACTGAAGGAGGCAGTAAATTTATCAGTTCCTCTTGTGAATGAGTGTTGGAACTTACAAATCAAATTATGCCCATCAAGGTGGCTTATTAGATCAGCTTATTATTTATTATATATTACAAGTTGAGTATCCCTTATCTGAAATGCCTGGGGCCAGAAGTGTCTCAGATTTTGCAGTTTTTCAGATTTGGGAATGCAGTGGAACCTCAAATTTCGAACTTAATCTGTTCCAGGAGCTAGTTCTAAATTCGAAAAGTTTGAAAAGCGAAGCAATTTTTCCCAAAAGAAATAATGGAAATACAATTAATCCATTGCAGAAACCAAAAAATATTCACAAAAAAAAAAAAAAATTTTATAGAGATTAATTAGTTTTACATACAACAAATATAGTGTACAATTATGTATTAATAAATTTAAATAAACATATAAAATAACATTTTTACTTGCCTTTATTGAAGATTGGATGATGGCATCTGGAAGATAGGGAGGAGGAGAGAGGGAGTTGGGGTTAGTGTTTGGAAGGGGAATCCCCCTCCATAAGGACTTTAGGTATCAAAGCCCTCTCTGGGATTACTTACCTTCTGTGTCTTTTAATGCCACTAGGATCAGCTTGAGAGTCACTGGACCCCTGTCTCACAAAATAACTGTCCACAGTCCTCTGTTTCTGGCACCTCTTTAAGATTCCCCTAAAATGGGACATGGTTCTGTCACTGAACTTGTTGCAGAGATGGCTTGTTTCTGCTTGCTCAGGGTGGTACTTCTCCACAAACATTTGGACGTCATTCCACTTGGCGCAAATCTCCTTAATCTTTGAATTGGCATGCAACTTCCTTGCCTTTTCACAAATAATCATCTCTGAAACACTATCACCTGCCATCTCTTTATCCTTGATCCACACCAGCAGGAACTTCTCAACCAGATCGATTGTCTGTGGTCTTGTTTTGGTTAGCATATTAACACCTTTTGCAACATCAGCTTCCTTGATTTGTTCTTTCTTTGCCAGGAGAGAAGCAATGGTTGACTTGTTTTTCCCATACATCCTGGCAAGCTCAACAAGTTTACATCACTCTCATACTTCTGTATTATTTCCTTCTTCACATCTATGATGTTTCTCACTTTCTTTACCACAGGGGTACCACTAGCAAGTTTCTTTGGGCTCATGGTAGCTTATTTCACAGTCCCACACGCACTAAACACAATGAATTAATCGTAAAATGTTTGAATGAGTTAGGTAGTAGGTTGGTAGACAGCAACCACCGAGGGGGGACTACCATCCTGCCAAGTGAGTGTGAAACGAAAGCCTGTAATTGTTTTACATGATGGTAGGATTGCTGGTGTCTTTTGTCTGTCTCATAAATATGCAAGATTACAGGTACATCTTGCTACTTCTACTTACATTTAGGTCACACTACACATACATGTACAAGCATATATATTGTTGAATTAGACACATGTACAACTCTTGGGTATCTTTATTGAGGAAACGTTTTGCCACACAGTGGCTTCATCAGTCCATACAAAGGAGAAACTTGAAGAACAGGAGGAGAATGAGGTAATCAGTCCCTCAGCCTTGAGTCGATGTGGTCAGTCCATCAATCTTGAATAGAATACGGCATATGAGCGGAGAAGCAATCCTGTCAGACACTGCAACTTCTTGGGATCTTAATACTTGGGAATTCTTCACTTGCCTAACCCTTGGGCATGACCTACTTCCACATTAGACAAATGTGACACCACCTACGACTGCTGCCCCTCACCCGTCTACGGTTTATAAGCTGCTTCTCCGCTCATATGCCATATTCTTTGCAAGATTGATGGACTGACCACATCGACTCAAGGCTGAGGGACTGATTACCTCATTCTCCTCCTGTTCTTCAAGTTTCTCCTTTGTATGGACTGATGAAGCCACTGTGTGGCAAAACGTTTCCTCAATAAAGATACCCAAGAGTTGCACATGTGTCTAATTCAACAACATGTCGGTTCTCTGAACCATTCATCTACAAGCATATATATACACACCCCTCTGGGTTTTCTGCTATTTTCTTTCTAGTTCTTGTTCTTGTTTATTTCCTCTTATCTCCATGGGGAAGTGGAACAGAATTCTTCCTCCGTAAGCCATGCGTGTTTAAGAGGCGACTAAAATGCCAGGAGCAAGGGGCTAGTAACCCCTTCTCCTGTATAAATTACTAAATTTGAAAAGAGAAACTTTTGTTTTTCTTTTTGGACCACCCTGCCTCAGTGGGATGCGGCCAGTTTGTTGAAAGAAAAGATGTTTGAATGAGATTGCAAGTTAGTGTTCACTCAAGCATCAACAAAGCCAGACTGGCTCACGGCGCCTGCACGGGGACACGGACAGAGCAGGCTGGCGGACAGGTCCGGTACCCGGCGGTTCAAAAAAAGGGGCGAGTTCGATAATGGGGACAAAGTTGATTCGAAAAAAGCGGTCGATTTTTTGAAGAGTTCGATAAGCGATACGTTCGAAATTTGAGGTTCCACTGTATAATGAGATATCTTGGAGATGGGACCTAGGTCTAAACATGAAATTCATTTATATTTAATATACAGCTTATACACAAAGTCTAAAGGTAGTTTTATACAATATTTTTTGTAATAAAAACAATGTTTTTAATAAAAAACCTGTGCAATGCCTAGGATTTGGCTTGCAGTTTTTGGATTTTTGAATTTCTGAATTTTGAGTAAGGGATAATCAATCTCTATAATAACTTGCCTTCTATTGAGATTAGGCTTATTGGGTGGTAATTTGATAGCGTGAACTTATCTCCTGGTTTGAGATACTGTATAAAGAAGATTAACCCTTTCAGTGTTGAGACCTCTGATCTGTGTTGGAAAATGAAAAAAAAAAATATATTTTTTGTTACGAAATGATAGACTTTTCCTGATGTTAATGACACCAAAAGTATGAAATTTGATGGAAAACTTATGAAATTACACTCTCGTGAACTTTGCGATCTTGGCGATATTTATGCATTGGTGATTTCACCCAGTTTGAGCCCTATTTTTTACCCAATTCCACTATTCCAGTTGACTAAAATCGTAGCTATTTCGCTAGAACTCCATTTGTTCTATCGATTGAGTACAAGACATTGCCCATTTACCGATTTCAGCTACCCAACGAAGTGATCAGATATTGGTGGTTTGGCCAATTTCACAAATTTCAAAAGTGGCCAATTTCAAAATAGGGTCCAGAATAAACAAGGCAGACATTCCTAGCACTAAAATAACATTTTCTCTGTTCATTAGTCACATTTCCAGGCCCCACTTATATTACTCTTGCTTTCCATTTTGAATTTTTATTCTCACAAAAAATAGAAGATTTACTGTTATGCAGACTACTGCATTATTATAATAATTGTATAAATAATATTGACCCATTATGACTGCACATTAGACCAGCCAGTTGGACACATATTGGACAGTGATGTCATTTGTTTACTCTTGAACATTGGCAAATATCGAACATTTCCGTTACTTTGAGCTCAATTTCAAGGTACTTGTCATCGTGAAACCAATCAAAATCATCTTTTATTCTGTTAAATGAGACCAAGAGAACGAGAATACAACCATAAATACCATACGAAAATACACTGCAAAGCCGCTGTTTTAAATGAAAAACACTGTCAAGAGTTTTTTTTCTCATGCACTGCGTGCTGCAGGATTTTTTTTATACTGCGCACACTGACCATGCAGACCCATTCTTTCATATGTAGGCCTACCAGTTTTCTTCCACCAGATCTGAAGGAGCTAGAATTTTGGCGTATTACCGGACCGACACTGGCTCTCAAGCCATAATATTACGGGACCGACACTGAAAGGGTTAAAAATAGAAATGGGACAATACCAAAATTTTTGCTGATACTAATACTCAATTTTAAGCTGAAACTGATGCCATCGAAATTAGCTGATACCTGCTGGTACTGATATCATTAAAATTAGCCAGTACCCTCCAATACTGATACTCAGTTTTAAGCCAGTATCACTGCCATCAAAATTAGGTAACATCACTAATACCAGTACTTTGGCACTACCCTATTCAAAAAGCATTTTTACTGCTGCATTTTTTCTGCAGTATTCCTGCCTCTTGTCTACATTTTCATGTGTTCATTCTTTACCCCACATCCCCTAGCTAGACTTAAATATCAGTTTAATAATAATTGATACAGTAATTGATTTATAATTTTTGTTTATACACAGATCTGGGTGGACAAGCAACTAGTTTAGATGTTGTTCAGAACATCATTCATGTGATCCAAGCCAACACCAAGGATAGCAGTTGGTAATTTTTTCCTACTTCTCCAGTTGCTTCTTTTGCTCATGTCAGCTTGTAAGTTTTTACTTATAGCTTTAGTCTATACTCTTATAAAAAATATGCCTAATGTTGGCCAGTATTTTTTTTTTTCATAGCTTCAGTAGGTCTGTAAGTGACAAATATAAATTTCTTATTTTCTTTTTTGGATTGACTAAGGCTTTGCATATCAAAACAGTAATGTATATTTTGTTAAAATTATTAAGTAATAATGTTACAGTAATAGTAGTAGGCAAATACTGTACTGTCTACTGTCTAGGCTATCTGTATTCTGAATACTATATACTTGTAGTTGATATCTCAAACTTCTTTTTAATTTCTAACATATTATTTTCTTATTTTCACCATTTTTCATTGTCATTTATACAGTTAAAAATTTCCTGCAAATAATATAATTCCTGAAATAGAGTAGTACAGTAGTCCCCCCAAATTCACGGGGGTTATTTGGAAACTGCGAATTCTGGACGCGGTTAAAAAAAATTCCTATAAATGCCTATTTTTATAGTTTAAACCCTAAATATGCTCCCAAAACCCTTGAATTTAATTTCAAACTCAGCTTTATACATCACCCTTAACCCTTAAACTGTCCAAACTTAGATCTACGTTCACATGCGTAGTGCTCCGAACGTAAATCTACATTTCTTTTTATGTGCTTTTAAGTGGAGAAAATAAAGGTCGGAGCACTACGCATGTAAACGTACTGTAATTCATGTTCTCTGGTATACTGCAATTCATGCAACCTCATTTTCTTTGGTATACGTATGGTAAAAATATGGAAATTTTGCAGAATTTACGTTAATATTTATGTTACAAAATTATTAAATTATAGTTTTTCTTAATATTTAGCATTCAGATGCATAAAACCAAAAAAAAATTCAGCAGATTTGCGGGGATTTCCGCAAACAATTATTAGTTAGGTTCTAAGGAAAAATCCTCAAATTAGTATTCGGTTGTCTTCTGAAGTATTGGACCAAGACTGCTGTTCAGAAGAAAACAGGACGATCTTGAAAAGATAATTTCGTAATTCAGATACTTAAGACAATCAGCAATATCGTACCCCCCCCCCCCTATATTAGTCCGATAATTAGAGGGTTCACTGTACTCACATTTTGCTAGAGGAAAATTCACCCACTTCTTTTTATGGTAGCTTGTAGAATTCATGAAGAGAAGCATTGACATCTTTATCACCTGCCCCCTTTAGAATTCTCTATTTGGCTTAAGGAGACTACAGTATATATTTATACTTAGTTAATTTGAACACCACAGGAAAAGTGCCAAATTTTATTTCAGGGAGAGGCTGAGGGATTTTTTTTTATAGATTTCATTGGTGAATTGGTCACCTTAAGTTTCATAAACCAGTTTTGCAACATTTGCAGAGGTCTCATTTGGAGGTGAATTACAATTACATACTGTATATAAATATCGTTTCAAACAGATTTTTTTTTTATTTGTATGTTCTTAGAATTTATAGGGTATAAAACAAAATAAATTATTATTAATTATAATAATATTGAGATTATTTTACTCACCTTTATCAAATGAGTAACCATATATTAATATATTTATGAAAATAAGAAAAAATTTTGGAGTGAGTTAAACAAGTTAAGAAAGTGTAGGGAACGAAAGGATTTGTAAGTTTAAAACAGAGGAGGGGAGTTAGTAGATGGGGAGATGGAGGTTTTGGGTAGATGGCAAGAATATTTTGAGGAACTTTTAAATGTCGACGAAGAAAGGGAGGCGGTAATTTCATGCACTGGCCAGGGAGGTATACCATCTTTTAGGAGTGAAGAAGAGCAGGATGTGAGTGTGGGGGAGGTGAGTGAGGCATTACGTAGAATGAAAGGGGGTAAAGCAGCTGGAACTGACAGGATCATGACAGTAATGTTAAAAGCAGGGGGGAGGGGATATAGTGTTGGAATGGTTGGTATTTTTGTTTAATAAATGTATGAAAGAGAGGAAGGTACCTAGGGATTGGCAGAGAGCATGTATAGTCCATTCATATAAAGGGAAGAGGGACAAAAGAGATTGTAAAAATTATAGAGGAATAAGTTTACTGAGTATACCAGGAAAAGTGTACGGTAGTGTTGTTATTGAAAGAGTTAGAGGTAAGACAGGATGTAGGATTGCAGATGAGCAAGGAGGTTTTAGAGTGGGTAGGGGATGTGTAGATCAAGTGTTTACATTGAAGCAGATATGTGAACAGAATTTAGATAAAGGTAGGGAAGTTTTTATTGCATTTATAGATTTAGAAAAGGCATATGATAGAGTGGATAGGGGAGCAATGTGGCAGATGTTGCAAGTATGTACATGCATATGGAATAGGTAGTGAGTTACTAAATGCTGTAAAGAGTTTTTATGAGGATAGGCTCAGGTTAGGGTGTATAGAAGAGAGGGAGACTACTTCCCGGTAAAAGTAGGTCTTAGACAGGGATGTGTAATATCACCATGGTTGTTTAATATATTTATAGATGGGGTTGTAATAGAAGTAAATGTCAGGGTGTTCGGGAGTGGAGTGGGATTAACCCTTTGACTGTCGCGGCCGTATATATACGTTTGTGAGGTACCGTGTTTGACGTATATATACTCATAAATTCTAGCGGCTTCAAATCAGGCAGGAGAAAGCTAGTAGGCCCACATGTGAGAGAATGGGTCTGTGTGGTCAGTGTGCACCACATAAAAAAAATCCTGGAGCACGCAGTGCATAATGAGAAAAAAAAAACTCTGACCGTTTTTTTTAATAAAATGCCGACTTTGTGGTCTATTTTCGTATAGTATTTGTGGTTGTATTTCGTTTTCATGGTCTCATTTGATAGAATGGAAACTATATTATAGAAATGGAGGTGATTTTGATTAATTTTACTATAAAAAGACCTGAAATGGAGCACAAAGTACAGGAAATGTTTGATTTTTGCCGATGTTCAAAAGTAAACAAATGATGTCATTGTCCAATAAATGTCCAAATAGCCATTCTAATACGCAGTCATGAATGGGTTGATGTAATTTTTACAATTATTACAGTATTGCAGTAGTCTGCATAACAGTAAATCTTCTATTTTTTGTTTGAATAAAATTTCAAAATAAAAAGCAAGAGTAAAAATCACAGGGACCTGGAGACATGACTGATGAACAAAGAAAATCTTTTTTTAGAGCCAGGAATGTCTGCATTGTTCATTCTGGACCTTATTTTGAAATTGTCGTATTTTTTAATTTTCGTGAAATTGGCCAAATTGCAAATTTCTGACCATGTTATTGGGTAGTTGAAATCGGTAAATGGGCATTTCTTGTGCTCAATCGATAGAAAAAATAGAGTTCTGAAGAAATAGTTATGAGTTTGGTTGACTGGAATAACGGAATTAGCCGAAAATAGGGCTCAAAGTGGGCGAAATTGCCGATTTTTAAATATCGCCGAAGTCGCTAACTTCGCGAGAGCGTAATTCCGTCAGTTTTCCATCAAATTTAGTTTTTTTGGTGTCTTTACAATTGGGAAAAGATTCTCTATCATTTCATAAGAAAAAATAATTTTTTTTTTTCGAATATTTTGCGACACCAGGAGCAACTTCAGGATTGGGCCCTTCGACAGTCAAAGGGTTAAATTATGGGGAATCAAATACAAAATGGGAATTGACACAGTTACTTTTTGCTGATAACGCTGTGCTTATGGGAGATTCTAAAGAAAAATTGCAAAGGTTAGTGGATGAGTTTGGGAGTGTGTGTAAAGGTAGAAAGTTGAAAGTGAACGTAGAAAAGAGTAAGGTGATGAGGGTATCAAATGATTTAGATAAAGAAAAATTAGATATCAAATTGGGGAGGAGGAGTATGGAAGAAGTGAATGTTTTCAGATATTTGGGAGTTGACGTGTCAGCGGATGGATTTATGAAGGATGAGGTTAATAATAGAATTGATGAAGGAAAAAAGGCAAGTGGTGTGTTGAGGTATATGTGGAGACAAAAAACATAATCTATGGAGGCAAAGAAGGGAATGTATGAAAGTATAGTACCAACACTCTTATGTGGGTGTGAAGCTTGGGTTGTAAATGCTGCAGCGAGGAGGAGGTTGGAGGCAGTGGAGATGTCCTGTCTAAGGGCAATGTGTGGTGTAAATATTATGCAGAAAATTCGGAGTGTGGAAATTAGGAGAAGGTGAGGAGCTAATAAAAGTATTAAATCAGAGGGCTGAAGAGGGGTTATTGAGGTGGTTTGGTCATTTAGAGAGAATGAATAAAAGTAGAATGACATGGAGAACGTCTGTAGAGGAAGGAAGGCGGGGTAGGGGTTGTCCTCGAAAAGGTTGGAGGGAGGGGGTAAAGGAGGTTTTGTGGGTGACAGGCTTGGACTTCCAGCAAGCGTGCGTTAGATAGGAGTGAATGGAGACGAATGGTATTTGGGACCTGACAAGCTGTTGGAATGTGAGCAGGGTAATATTTAGTGAAGGGATTCAGGGAAACCGGTTACTTTTATATAGCCAGACTTGAGTCCTGGAAATGGGAAGTACAATGCTTGCACTTTAAAGGAGGGGTTTGGGATATTGGCAGTTTGGAGGGATATGTTGTGTATCTTTATATGTGTATGCTTCTAAACTGTTGTATTCTGAGCACCTCTGCAAAAACAGTGATTATGTGTGAGTGAGGTGAAAGTGTTGAATGATGATGAAAGTATTTTCTTTTTGGGTCACCCTGCCTCGGTGGGAGACAGCCAACTTGTTAAAAAAAAAATTATATTATTGTACTCTGTTATAATTTATTTTAAAATACAGTACAGTATACAGTTAATACTGCATATAGTACATTTTTTTATAGTTTTAGGGGAAGATATGAAATGAACATTGTCACAGTTGCTCTTTGCCAATGAAAGTTCTTTTGTGAGATTCTGACAGAGGTTCCTAAAGTTGGTGGATGAGTTTGGAAGGGTGTGTAAAAGAGAAAAGTAAACGTGAACATAAAAAAGAGCAAGGTAATAAGAGTAACAAAATGCTTTAGGTACTAAAGTATTAGATATCAGATTGGAATGGGAGCAGTGAATATTTTATAGTAGATATTTGGGAGTGAATAGGTAGTAGGTTGGTAGACAGCAACCGCCCAGGGAGGTACTACCGTCCTGCCAAGTGAGTGTAAAACGAAAGCCTGTAATTGTTTTACATGATGGTAGGATTGCTGGTGTCCTTTTTTCTGTCTCATGAACATGCAAGATTTCAGGTACGTCTTGCTACTTCTACTTACACTTAGGTCACACTACACATACATGTACAAGCACATATATACACACCCCTCTGGGTTTTCTTCTATTTTCTTTCTAGTTCTTATTCTTGTTTATTTCCTCTTATCTCCATGGGGAAGTGGAACAGAATTCTTCCTCCGTAAGCCATGCGTGTTGTAAGAGGCGACTAAAATGCCGGGAGCAAGGGGCTAGTAACCTCTTCTCCTGTACATATTACTAAATGTAAAAGGAGAAACTTTCGTTTTTCCTTTTGGGCCACCCCGCCTTGGTGGGATACAGCCGGTGTGTTGAAAGAAGAAAGAAAGATTTGGGAGTGAACATGTCAACCGATGTATCTATGAAAACCCAGGTGAATGACAGAATAGACAAAGAATGGGGTTGAGTTATCTAAAGAGAAAGAAATTTATTTATGGAGAAAAAAAAAAAGAGGAATGTACCATTGTGTAATGGTACAAATTCTTTTATATGGGTGTGAGGCTTGTCCTATATATTTTACAGTGAGGAAGAAGCTGGAAGTAGTCATGTGTGAGAAGAATATGTGGTATGAATATTAGGCAAAGAATTCAGATAGTAAACACTAGGAGACATTATAAGATTAACAGATTTATAATTCAGAGGGCTGAGAAACAATTTTGAGATAGTTTGAGCATTTAAAAAGGATTGGAGCAGAATAGGATGACTAAGAGGATGTATATTATTATTATTATTTGTATTATATTCAAAACTAAGCACTAAACCCACCAGGGTCATGCAGTGCTGCAAGAGGATGTACAGATCTGGGGGTGAAATGAGGAATGGGTAGAGCTGGTCCCAGGAAGGTTTGGAGGGAAGGAGTTAAAAGTGGTTTTTGAGTACTAGAGGCTTGAACAATTAGGAAGCTTATGTAGGTGTGATAGATCAGAGTGGATACAAGCAAGGTAACATTTATAGCGGGATTCAGTGAAGGGGTTAGCCAGACTTAAGTACCGGATGTAGGAAGAACAGTGCCTGCACTGTGTACATTTATTATTAAGTCTTTGCTACTTGTAATTAAGAATTAAATATTTTGTAAAGTAAATGCATATGTTTGTACTTTATTATATTATAAAGTAAATCTTCTTCTTCTTTCAACGTACCAGCCGTATCCCACTGAGGTGGGGTGGCCCAAAAGAAAAAACTGAAGTTTCTCCTTTTAAATTTAGTAATATATACAGGAGAAGGGGTTACTAGCCCCTTGCTCCCGGCATTTTAGTCGCCTCTTACGACAAGCATGGCTTACAGAGGAAGAATTCTGTTCCACTTCCCCATGGAGATAAGA